ACGGCGGGCGACGTAGGGCGGGCGACGTAGGCGGCGGGCGACGTAGGGCGGGTGACGTAGGGTGGGTTGACGTAGGGCGGGTGACGTAGGGCGGGTGACGTAGGGCGGGTGAAGTAGGGCGAGTGACGTGTCGGGCGAGCTGACGTAGGCGAGTGACGTAGGGTGGGTGGACGTAGGTGGGTGACATAGAGCGGGCGACGTAGGGCGGGTGACGTAAGGCGACGCAGGGCGAGAAGGCCGTCAGGTCGTTCAGCAAACCGATCGCTCCATCGCAAAGAAAAAGGGAAGATGAGAGTAAGGAAATGGAAAAAGCTGCACTGCATTTGCACAAGGAATTCTCCGTAAATTAATAATTGTAGACAGCAATTGAAAACCGTGCCAAGTGTCAAAAATGGAATTTTGAAATAATTAAGAAAAGCTGTTTCGAAAACTCGCGGGATTGGCTGACCCGCAGTCTAGTGGCGACAATTTGAACCCCTAAGAATGAGAATTTCAGGTAGCCCATTTTACACCGCATTGCGCTTGACAATTACCACGCTTTTCAGCACAAAATGCAAATGTTCACATTATGGCATTTAGCCCGCGTTTCATTTATGCTCCACAATTTAGCTGACGACGAAACGGAGCTCTAGAATCACGCGGATGAGAATTTGACGTAACTCGGTACATGCGGTTTGCGTGACGAATCTTCCTAGCGTGTCGTCTCGCAGAAAAAAAACATGATTCCATAAACTGCGGTAATAATTATTAGAATTACACTTACTTTTAGACCACGGAGAAAAAAACGCTAAAACTGAGATTATAAGGTTATCTTATGATTCTTACTATTGGGCAAGTTGTTAGATAACAAACATTTACGAAAAATACAGTATACAGTATTAAACGTGGTTATTTGATTTCTTGCAGTAATCGAGTACCCTTGTGACGTTTTGGCCCAACAATCAAGAAAATTCAGGTGTCATTCGACGCGTCTCGACCTTCTGACGGGGAACAGCATCAATTTTGTGGATACACTTAGAAGATTCTAACAAAAAGTCTTTCAAAGCGACTAAAACACGTTTTGGGTGTCTTACGGTGCCTATAGAGGTGATCAATAGCTCATTAAATTCCTCTCCACAAGAAAAATCTATTGGAACAGTTCTAAGCCGGTTCCCTATGGAATATTCTGGAAGAAGTCTAGAAAAACGTGTGCTTTTTGGTGATTTCAATGCCCCTACGAGTACACTGGTGGACCTCTGTGAATTACTATATCCTCTTTCCGGCACTTGCATGACTCGTTAAGATTTGATTTATCAGACGATAATTAAACCAAATTTTACAATGAAACAAAAATTTGAACAAGAAGTTTAATCTATACTTTTTTATGTAACTTTCTGTGCTCAAAAATGGACATGCCAAGCAACAGTAATATTTTAAAAATGTATTTTTATTACGAACTTGCAAAGCACAAATAAATATTTTTAAACAAGAAAATACTCGCCGGGGATGCCAGGCCAAGCCAGTTAGAAAATACCTCCTACTGAAATACAAATTCTGGTATAAGTAGTGAGTCAAAACACTCCGCAAACACAAAGTTGTTTCTTTCAAATCAGAGGCACGACTTGAAACTCCATGGGATTTGTGATCATCGATCGATCATTGATTTTGATAATTGATTGATGCGCAGAGCGGCGAGCAAAGGCGAATACTTACTTTCCGCTCGCGTCATTTTCATCGTTGATGAAGTCCTCCAATTGACTGAAATCAAGAGCTTCGTTGTCGATTCCTCCAACGAAGTCACCTCGGCCTGGAACGCAATAAAACACACTCATTAAAGACCTTGTGGAAAGAGTCAACTCTAACTCAAAAAACTATTAAATAAACTAGTGGCACAGAGCCAGCATTTCGCCTTTAGTAAACCATTGTTTCAAAAATAGCTTCATACTGGGAGTCGCCTTCGAACGGCGAACCCCTAGACAGTGGGTTACGTGAGGCCTGTACTGAATGTGCCTAAACAATACAATAACGTGTGTAACACATATGTTTTTTGGCAATGGTGTCTTCTAAATTGCAAAAATGCTCAACTTTCCTTAAAGTATTGCACGCGTGATGCGAATTAAAAATGTTAACACATGTTTCGCTGGAGATCCAGAAAGATTCGAT